GTTGTTGTTGTGGTTGTTGCTGTTGTGGTTGTTGTTGTTCAGGTCGACAGCGTGGATCAGGGCTATGGCGCCCAGGTAAGTGACGTTGGTATGGCCTCCGCCCCTCTTCTTCTTCTTCTTCTTCCGGTTCTTCTTTTTCTTCTTCTTGTGGTTCTGGTTCTGGTTGTTGTTGTGGTTGTTCCTGTTGTTGTTCTTGTTCGTGTTGTGAAGTTTAACAGCGTAGAGCACGGCTATGGCGCCGAGGTGGTTGTGGTTTTGGTTGTTGTTGTGGTTGTTGTTGTTGTGCAGGTCGACAACGTGGATCACGGCTATAGCGCCCAGGTAAGTGACATTGGTATGGCCTCCGCCCCTCTTCTTCTTCTTCTTCTTCTTCTTCTTCTTCTTCTTCTTCTTCTTCTTCTTCTTATTTTTCTTCGTCTTCTCCTTCTTCTTCTTCTTCTTCTTTTTGTGGTTGTTGTTGTTGTTGTTCTTGTGGGTGTTGTGCAGGTTGACAGCGTGGAGCACGACTATGGCGCCCAGGTGGTTGTGGTTCTGTTTGTTGTTGTGGTTGTTGCTGTTGTCGTTGTTGTTGTGCAGGTCGACAGCGTGATCAAGGCTATGGCGCCCAGGTAAGTGACGCAAGTATGGCCTCCGCCCCTCTTCTTCTTCTTCTTCTTCTTCTTCTTCTTCTTCTTTTTTTTCTTCTTCTCCTTCTTCTTCTTTTTCTTCTTCTTGAGGTTGTTGTTGTTGTTGTTCTTGTTAATGTTGTGCAGGATCACAGCGTGGAGCACGGCTATGGCGCCCAGGTGGTTGTGGTTCTGGTTGTTGTTCTGGATGTTGCTGTTGTTGTTGTTGTTGTGCAGGTCGACAGCGTGGATCAAGGCTATGGCGCCCTGGTAAGTGACGCAGGTATGGCCTCCGCCCCTCTTCTTCTTCTTCTTCTTCTTCTTCTTCTTCTTCTTCTTCTTCTTCTGCTTCTTGTGGTTCTGGTTCTGGTTGTTGTTGTGGTTGTTGTTCTTGTTGGTGTTGTGCAGGTGGACAGCGTAGAGCACGGCTATGGCACCCAGGTGGTTGTGGTTCTGGTTGTGGTTATGGTTGTTGTTGTGGTTGTTGCTGTTGTTGTTGTTGTTGTGCAGGTCGAGCGTGTGGATCACGACTATGGCGCCCAGGTAAGTGAAGCAGGTATGGCCTCCGCCCCTCTTCTTCTTCTTCTTTTTCTTCTTCGTCTTCTTCTTCTTCTTCTTCTTCTTCTTCTTCTTCTGCCTTCTTCTTTTTCTTCTTCTTCTTTTTCTTCTTCTTCTTCTTCTTCTTCTTCTCCTTCTTCTTCTTCTTCCTTCAACAGCGTGGATCACGGCTATGGCGCCCAGGTAAGTGACGCAGGTATAGCCTCCGCCCTTCTTCTTCTTCTTCTTCTTCTTCTGCTGCTGCTGCTTCTTGTGGTTGTGGTTCTGGTTGTTGTTGTGGTTGTTGGGGGAGAGGAGGTAGGGGGATGGGCGCTCCCGCCGAAGGGATGGGTGGGGGGAGAGAAAAAGATGAAGGGGGAGGTAGGGGGATGGGGTGGTGGTAGTTGGGGGAGAGGAGGGATGGGGAAAGGTGGACAGGGATCAAGAAGCAAAGAGAAAAAAAAGAGGAAGAAAAGAAAGATATAAAAGAAGGAGAGTAAAAGAATGGGTGTTGGGAGAAAGGCGGGGTGGGGAAGATAAAAGGAGGAGAGAAAAGATGCAGTGGAAAGTGGGGGAAAGAGAAGGGGTGAGTAAGAGGAGAGAGGAGAGGTAGGGAGAGTGGGTTAGTAGAGGGAGAGGGGAGAAGGGAGTGATACCTGGCCCTTGGTGTCTCCAAGGGCACAAGGTACACCAAGACCAGGAGGGTCTTGGTTGCTGCAGCAGCTAGTTGGAGGAGAGAGGGGGCTGAAATCTTGATTAGCCCCCAGCAACACTTCTGCAGATGTGTAGATGTAGGGTCTGCTGTGTGAGCAGGCCCTCTCCACTGTAGAGCAGCCCCCTAAGCAGGGGGGTCTTCAGCCACGTGCACAGGCAGCAGCANTGGAGACTATCTGCAGGGGTAGCACTGATTCACTGGAAGGCATATTGATGAGTTGGCAAGATATTGGTGTTGCGCTGATGAGCGCTGGACTCAGGGAAACTTTGAAACACTTTGTATTYATATTTTTGATAATATAAGCTGTGAAACTCGGTTCTCATCTTCTCTACCTTTGTCTATTATCAGACTACTGTTCGTTGTGTGTGGGAGAACGATGCATGGCATGTACACACTTGCGTGAGATGGTCTCAAGGACCCATGCAGCCCTGATAGGGACCCAAAACAAAAATAGCATCTTTGTCTAAAGTTTCCAAAGAAACTTCATACCCAAAACGTCAAAATGATTTAGCTATGAAATCATTAAAAACCTTATCAAATAACAATCTAATGTTCAGAAGAAGAAGAAGAAGAAGAAAAAGAAGAAGAAGAAGAAGAAGAAGAAGAGGGGCGGAGGCCATACCTGCGTCAGCGATACTTAACTGGGCGCCATAGCTGTGCTCCACACTGGCAACCTAAACAGCAACAACAACAACAACAACACATACCTGCGTCAGCGGTACTTAACTGGGTGCCATAGTCGTGCTCCACACTGGCGACGTGCACAAGAACAAGAACAACGAAGAAGAAGAAGAAGAAGAAGAAGAAGAAGAAGAAGAAGAAGAAGGGCGGAGGCCATACCTGCGTCAGCGGTACTTAACCGGGCGCCATAGCCGTGCTCCACACTGGCGAACTGCACAACAACAACAACACATACCTGCGTCAGCGGTACTTAACTGGGCGCCATAGCCTTGCTCCACACTGGCGACCTGCACAACATCAACAACAACGAAGAAGAAGAAGAAAAAGAGGGGCGGAGGCCATACCAGCGTCAGCGGTACTTAACTGGGCGCCATAGCCGTGCTCCACACTGGCGACCTGCACAACAACAACACATACCTGCGTCAGTGGTACTTAACTGGGCACCATAGCCGTGCTCCACACTGGCAACCTGCAAAACAACAACAACAACAACAACCACAAGAAGAAGAAGAAGAAGGAGTAGAAGAAGAATAAGAATAAGAAGAAGAAGAAGAAGAAGAAGAAGAAGAGGGGCGGAGGCCAAACCTGCGTCAGAGGTACTTACCTGGCCGCCATAGCCGTGCTCCACTCTGGNCGTGCACAGGGGGGGGGGGGGGGGGGGGGGGGGGTGAATAGCCAGCACGGCACCTCTTCAACACGGGTGTGCCGTGCTACAGACCCATGGACACACTGTGGCGAGAGTGTTATCAGGCTGCTAACGCACGCGCGCGGCTCGAAAGGTGCCAAGGTTCAAACCCCAGCAGAAGCAGTTGCATCCCGGATCTTGATAATATAAATCCGGGAGCGGGGCGGGGCGGGACAGCGGGGCAGCGAGGCACGCGCGCGCGAGCGGCGGCCTTGGCCTTGGCGCTTGACGGTAAGTGGGGTGCGTGTGCGACTGGAGACCACACGTTACTCTCAAGCAACTCTCTCTCTCTCTCTCTCTCTCTCTCTCTCTCTCTTGCGAAAAAGACACACTGGCGGCGCCCGAGGCTGTAGTTGCTCGAGCTCACGCGATTTATTCCGCATCGTCAGGGTCCGGTATCCGTCACCAGTCGCGACACCAAACACAAGGTAACGTGTGGTCTCCAGTCGCACACGCACCCACTTTCCCAATTGCGAGTCGGGACCACCAAGCCGCAGCCCCAAGAACAAATCACTGACGGGCTGCAAGGACAAGGTTATGGGGGCTGCCTTCGGCGATCACCCACCACCTCGCGGCTGGCACGCAGTCCCTCTCTTGCGAAAAAGACACACTTGCGGCCCGAGGCTGTAGTTGCTCGAGCTCACGCGGTTTATTCCGCACCATAAGGGCCCGGTGTTGGTCACCAGTCGTGACACCAAACACAAGGTAACGTGTGGTCTCAAGTCGCACACGCACCCACTTACCCGATTGCGAGTCAGGACCACCAAGCCGCAGCCCCATGAACAAGTCACTGACGGGGTGCAAGGACAAGGTTATGGGGGACGCCTTCGGCGATCACCCACCACCTCGCGGCTGGCACGCAGTCTCTCTCTTGCGAAAACGACACACTGGCGGCGCCCGAGGCTGTAGTTGCTCGGGCTCACGCGGTTTATTCCGCACCGTAAGGGCCCAGTGTCGGTCACCAGTCGCGACACCAAACACAAGGTAACGTGTGGTCTCAAGTCGCACACGCACCCACTTCCCCGATTGCGAGTCGGGACCACCAAGCCGCAGCCCCATGAACAAATCAAAGACGGGCTGCAAGGACAAGGTTATGGGGGCCGCCTTCGGCGATCACCCACCACCTCGCGGCTGGCACGCAATCTCTCTCTTGCGAAAAAGACACACTGGCGGCGCCCGAGGCTGTAGTTGCTCGAGCTCACGCAGTTTATTCCGCACCATCAGGGCCCGGTGTCGGTCACCAGTCGCGACACCAAACACAAGCTAACGTGTGGTCTCCAGTCGCACACGCACCCACTTACACGATTGCGAGTTGGGACCACCAAGCCGCAGCCCCATGAACAAATCACTGAAGGGCTGCAAGGACAAGGTTATGGGGGCCGCCTTCGGGGATCACCCACCACCTCGCGGCTGGCACGCAGTCTCTCTCTTGCGAAAAAGACACACTGGCGGCGCCCGAGGCTGTAGTTGCTCGAGCTCACGCGGTTTATTCCGCACCGTCATGGGCCGGTGTCGGTCACCAGTCGCGACACCAAACACAAGGTAACGTGTGGTCTCCAGTCGCACAGGCACCCACTTACCCGATTGCGAGTCGGGACCACCAACCCGCAGCCCCATGAACAAATCACTCACGGGCTGCAAGGACAAGGTTATGGGGTCCGCCTCGGCGATCACCCACCACCTCGCGGCTGGCACGCAGTCTCTCCCTTGCGAAAAAGACACACTGGCCGCGCCCGAGGCTGTAACTGCTCGAGCTCACGCGGTTTATTCCACACCGTCAGGGCCCGGTGTCGATCACCAGTCGCGACACCAAACACAAGGTAACGTGTGGTCTCGAGTCGCACACGCACCCACTTCCCCGATTGCGAGTCCGGACCACCAAGCCGTAGTTGCTCGAGCTCACGCGGTTTATTCCGCACCGTCAGGGCCCGGTGTCGGTCACCAGTCGCGACACCAAACACAGGGTAACGTGTCGTCTCGAGTCGCACACACACCCACTTCCCCGATTGCGAGTCGGGACCACCAAGCCGCAGCCCCATCAACAAATCACTGACGGGCTGCAAGGACAAGGTTATGGGGGCCGCCTTCGGCAATCACCCACCACCTCACGGCTGGCACGCAGTCTCTCTCTTGTGAAAAAGACACATTGGCGGCGCCCAAGGCTGTAGTTGCTCGAGCTCACGCGGTTTATTCCGCACCGTCAACGCCCGGTGTCGGTCACCAGTCGCAACACCAAACACAAGGTAACGTGTGGTCTCCAGTCGCACACGCACACACTTCCCCGATTGCGAGTTGTGACCACCAAGCCGCAGCCCCATGAACAAATCACTGACGGGCTGCAAGGACAAGGTTATGGGGGCCGCCTTCGGCGATCACCCCTCGCGGCTGGCACGCAGTCTCCCTCTTGCGAAAAAGACACACTGGTGGCGCCCGAGGCTGTAGTTGCTCGAGCTCACGCGGTTTATTCCGCAC